ACGGATAACGGGTGAATGAGAAATTGATTCTCGAAGTTCACTCGTTGAAATGGAAAAACTGGGAAAATGGTGAGTTTCTAGTGTGTTTTATCCCACACCGAAAAACTCAAGGGATTTTCACCCCCTTATAAAGGGAAGCCTCTTTTAAGGAGTTAAGATTCCTAGAGGGAAAGGCTTTCTCTTACGCGCAGGGGGGGGGGGGGTGCCGATCAAATCCCGAAACGGAGAAGAAAAACCGCGACTCGTGTGCGCGGGCGACCTGCGGACACGAATGTCGTCCGAAAACCTATCATTCAAAGATACGGTCTAAGTTTTGTTTCTTCCCGTAACGTTTTAATTTTTTCCCAGGATCAGAGTTGCTCGAACTCTGGTGGCTTCGGATCAGAGTTGCTCGAACTCTGGTGGCTTCTGACCAGAAGCTCGAACTCTGGTGGCTTCGCATCAGAGTTGCTCGAACTCTGGTGGCTTCGGACCAGAAGCTCGAACTCTGGTGGCTTCGCATCAGAGTTGCTCCAACTCTGGTGGAGGTCTTCTGGTAGCATCAGAACTGCTCCAACTCTGGTGGGGGTATTCTGATCGCGCACCAGAACTGCTCCAAGCCGTTACAACCATTAAATGCCCAACGTTCTTGTCTTTTAATGCAACGTTAAATGGACAGTTTATGGATGATTCAATGCCCAACGGACTGGTCATTGAAGTCCAACGTTCAGGTCCATTAACACCCCATTTAACACACAACAAATCCTCCTATAAATAGCTGGCAGGTGGTTTACAACAACAAAAAACGCACAATACATTCCTCACGAATTTCTTGAGCTAAAAACACCTAAAGCTACTCAGCAAACTTCCTTCTGTGTTCATACTTGGTTCTCGTTCGCTGGAACTCTTGTTTGTGTGCTCAAACATTAGTTCGTAGTCATCGTATCCTGGGAAACGATTGTTGCAACGCTCCTAGCACCGTGGGAGGCAACAAATACGTTTTAAGGAAATCGTGCGTAGCACGAGCTTTGACTAATTCTGCTTCATCTCCTTTCCTATTTTTCTTTAGTCATTTTATTTAATTAATTAATTTTAATTAATTTTCTTTATTTTCCGAAACACACCCAACAAAAAGAACATAAATCGATGTGAATAGTATTTTAATCAACTTTTTGTTGCACGGAAACCAATGATTGTGCACATATAATTATCGTCTATGTACAATTATTTTTCGTAGGTCTCAAACAACTAATGTATGTTTATACCAACATTTTTTATGTGCACATATAACTAGTTTTTGCGCAACGCAATGAGCTTCTTCCTGTTTGAATCTTTGAATCCACTAGAATACGTCTAAAGTGTCTTGTTCTTCGGTTGTCCTAGGAACACACTAAAAAAACCGGGGGTCATAATGTACTTTAGTTTCACGGGAAGCAATTAGCAAAACTTTGGCTTGGTAATCATAAACTTGAGCAGAGAGATTTTTGAGAGAGAAAGAAGCAGGGATGGATTTAGTGGGGAAGGAGGGAGAGGGGGCAACTTAGGGTGGGGAGGGGGGGACTGTTCTCTTTGAACTTTTAAATTATATATATATATATATATATATATATATATATATATATATATATATATATATATATATATATATATATATATATATATATATATATATATATATATATGTGTGTGTGTGTGTGTGTGTGTGTGTGTGTGTGTGTGTGTGTGTAAGTATGCATGTATGTGTGCAAAAACTTTAAGTTCGGGTATTTATTTGTCTTTTAGACAAAAGGTCTTGTATTAAAACCGCGAAGGTCATGATCACATCATCCTAGCTATATACATGGGACTTGCCCTGAACTAAACATAAAGATGACCACTCTCGGTGGCGGAATCAGAACTTTCCTTTTCGATGAATAAAAAATGTTAGAAAAGTTAATGTTTACATCTAAATAGCGAACTAACTACTCCGGGAAATTCAACATGAGGTTGTTTTGCCCTTTTATTCTCTTCATTTAAAGTGCTTGAAGACTCTCCAATCCGTATTAGAAATTTTAACATGCAACGGACTGGTGAAATACTAGTCAATTAATTATGAGATAATAATGACATAAAGAAGACTATAGGTTTTGCCCTAGACAAATATAAGACTCAAATACTTAAATCTGAACAAAAGAGACTAAATATGTGTGAATGGACTGAAACCTCCCTGATATAAATACAAAACATGTAATCGGATCAATCCAATTGCATCTGACCATAGATTTGCATTTGCATTTGCCTGCGTTGATCTTCTACCTTCCGTCGATCTCCTTTCAACCATCGTTGCAACCACCATCGAAGCAACTACTATCGTCTCTCACCATCGCCTTAACCAGAATCGTCTTCCACCATCGCCGCAACTAGGCTTGTCAATGGGTCGGGTCGGAACCATCTTTTTTCAATGGGTATGGGTCTATACTTTTCCCCGTTACCCAGACCCGTAATTAAATGGGTCAGGTATGGTATATGTGGTTCCGACCCGTTTAGGACCCGACCCCTTACACACACGTATTATGTATTATGATAGTGCTGCCCACATTACTATTACGTATTATAATTAAATCCCTAAAGAAACACAAGAGTCTATAGACAATTCAAGAACCCTGTTCAATTTTTGAAACGATTATTTTTACTCTTTACCCTAACCTAAATCCCTACTATTACGTATGTTACTCCTTATTAAGCAACTCACAGAGAACTAGAGAACGAAAAGAGACATATCAAATAACTGCTCATGCTAAGAAAGCCAAGGAGAATTAGGAGCTTTAATTCTTGGTAATAATTACTAATTACAGACATGTAATTAGAGCCCACCATGTTGTTCCCAGAAAAGTATTTGGTAGTTGGTAGTAAGAAGTCATGTTTTTATTGAAGAAATTGGAGTTGGATTCTTGTGAGACGGGTTGGGTCTACCCGACACAGTTTCGATACCCGATGGATACGGGTCTGGAAAATTAGTTCTAGACCCGCTGGGTATATGGGTCGGGTTTGGAACTATATAGAGGCTAACGGGTCCGAGTCCAGAACACGACATTTCAGCCCGTACCCGGCCCGTTGACAGGCCTAGCCGCAACCACCATATCTTCTTCTTCTTTGTGGCGATTAAGGAGCCATTGACGTCGTTTTTTGGCAATTGGATGACGAAATGGTTTGAATTGTCATCGTTCGTCGATTCGGTGTGGATAGAGCCCCACGGAGGCGGTGAAATGGCAGCATCTGGTGGTGGTGTCCTGCAGTGGTGGCTAGCGGTGGTTACCAAGGGCGGATGTGTGCTAGGCCAGGGGTGGGCTTCAGCCCAGCCCATTTTTTTAATAGTATTGGTACATTTTCAAATCTCAGCCCAACATAAATTATTTGTCAGCCCACCCCACAAATAATTTCCAGCCCAGCCCAGCCCACAAAAAAACTGGCAACTAAACCATACGTCGTTACGCAATTACGCACACGGTCACACGCAGTCGGCAACTTAACCTCGGAACCTCCAATTCTCCGAACACCGAATGGACGAAGACAACGAATGAAACGGGCGAAGTGGCGAACGGCGAAGGGTGACGGAACAGCCGCCGCACTAAAGCAGCGAACGGAACGCCGAACGCCTCTGGCTCCGACCGACCTGACTGCCTCCAGCCTCCCTCTCTCGGCCTCTCGCTTTCTCGACCAGTCCTCCAGGCTCCAGCGATCGACACTCCGGCAGACGGCAGTCCAGCGGCCAGCCTTCATTCCTCCAGGTAAATCTTCTTGCGGTCTTGCCCTTTTACCAAGTAATTTGTGCCCATTTGGTATAATTTGACCGATTGAGTTTGGTGTTGGTGTTGAATTTTAATTTGTGTAGTTCGTGAATTTTAATTTGTGAATCAGTGAAGTTATGAACTTCTGCCGTGAATTTGTAAACTGTGATTAACCGATTGTGTATTAAACTATTAATGTATTAATTATTATTATTTTTAGCATTTTAGAGTTTTAGGGCTAGGGAATCATACAATCGTTTTGATTATTAATTGAATTTTTCAGTGCATAATTAAATAGTTTTATTTTTTATATATAAGTATTTTAATATATACCAATATTGAAAATGTTTTTTAGAATGGATAATGAACATGTTGCCAAGAAGGGAAAGAAGTTGATTTCATCATTCTTTTCGAAAGTGAATCGTCAAACTGGTGAAGGGAGTTCTGAACCTATACCTACAATAGTGCAAGATCTAGTCAATGAGGATCCTCCACATGCTGTAGTCCCTGAAATCCAAACTATCTCAAATTTGGATTTCAATACTCGATAGACATGCTCGAATGTAGAAGTTTAAAGTATTCAAATTTTTATTAATCATTAATAAATTTATAAAAATTGCATTAAACGTTTAAATTTTATGATATGTACAATAGTATAATTTATATGTGAACGATAGGCTCGTGTTCGGATCGAAACATCACTATGTTCGATCTTGACTTGAATAATTATTCAAACTCAAAACCTACTCCGTGTTCGAGTTCGAAACTTGTTAAACTCAATTCATTAAATTAGATTCGAAATCAAACTCGAACTCGAGTATATAATTCAAAAAAATCTTTGTTCGATAACAACCCTGAGCTAAATTTGGTATGTATAGTAAAAAAAATTACTGCTGCTTAGCCCACCCCATCTCTCGATCCTGGATCCGCCCCTGGTGGTCACTATTGGACCGAGCAGGGCTGACCTAAAGAAAGGGCACCCATCCCACTTGCACAAGGCCCATTATTTTTGAAGGCCCAAAAAATTTTAATACTCCTACTATTACTAAGCTGCAACTCAGGCCCAATAAATTAATTAAAAGAAAGGGAAAATGGAAATTAATAATCCAACTTTTTAGCATTCTTCTTACAATAATCTCACCTTTTGATTATTAATGAATAATCCAAATTTTTCATTCCATCTTATTCCACGATTTATGACATGTTATTCCACGTTATTTTTATCTAACATTATACATAAATACGTGTCAAGATAATTTGTACAAGCCACAAGCTGGAGTCGAGGGAGTGACGCTGGGACAGACGAGTACGACTGGCGAGGGAGTGACCGACAAGGCGACAGGCGACGTTGTCTCTTTCGCCTCCGGCCCGCCCATCCTGCCACCGCGCCCCGCCTCCAGGAGTTTTTACAGGAGTCACGGACTCACGGCCCTCAGCGGAGACTCGGCCCCTCAGCGGCTCTGCGTCTCAGCCCCTCCGTGGACTACGGCTCGCCCGATCTGTCCCTCACAGCGTTGGTATTTGCCAGTCGCCGCCCGGTAACTCGGTAGGCAACTGCATATTTTCTAAATTTTCTCTTTTCAATTACAAATTACTGAATTAGGATATTGATAATAATTTTACTGAGTATTAACAATTGAGAAATTGGTAATTACGTAGAAGTATGGTATTAGGTAAGTATAGATTTATAATTATTGCTTTTCATCATTTCACCCAAAAGCTTAACTCAGTTTCAACCTAAAACGTGTAATTATTAATGATTTTTTTAGGTTCATTAGTAACTTGTATTTTAAGTTTTTAACACAAATTACTTGAGTTGGATCTTGAAAAGGAAGGCCTGTTTTGTTTTTTTGCAAAGGGTCCCCATTTTCTCGAGATGGGACGAGTAACTTTAACGGGTCAGACCGGGTAATTGTAACTGGTCGGACCGGGTAACTGTAACTAATCGGATTAGGTAACCGTAACTGGTCAAACTAGTTAATCGTAACTCGTTGGGTCGGGCAATTCATAATTGTAACTGTAGCTGACGGGTTGAGTAACTGTAAGTCAAGTAACTGTAATTGACGGGTTAGGTAACTCTAACGTTGGTCACTATGACGTTAGTCACTATAAAATGGATTAAGTGGGAAGGGGTATAATAGCCCTCTCTTACTCCTTTTTAGTCTCTTTTTTGGAAGTTAACAAAGGTCTCTTTTTATCCATTTGTTAATTTTTAGTATTATTCTTGTCTTAACCCCATTATTTAATAACACAACAATAATACATACAAAGTAATTTTATTAAAATACTTCCCAATTATGTACACCATCTTCCAAATATATTTGTTTATTTTTTTATAATTTTTTTGTAATTGATGTTATGTTGCATTTTATTCTCCACATAATCTCAATCGTACTTTAAACTTTGTTAAAACCAATATACCTTAATTCAATACATATCAGTTTTTTTAGTTTTCTCATATTGTACTATCAATATTAAATTATGAAGTAATATAACTTTTCTATTTATGAATTTAATGTTTTATATAATAATAATAATTATATATACATATATTTATTCATTGGTGTTGACCGGGTTTTCCAGACGTTGAGCGGGCTGACCGGTCGGGTCCGAGTTGACCCGTGATGTAGTTATCTGTATGGGTCACTTCACAGTCCGGTTTTTACAACATATTGGTATAAACCTTTGCCGGACCAGATGGAAAACATGGTACACCATTTTAGCTCCTTTTTGTTTAAGAAGAAGAGAATCCTCCCGCTCAATTTTATTTTTGTTGAGGCTTATTTACTTAGGCCTGGGCAAGGTAGTCAAAGTCGTGAGGCGCACTCAAGGCGACGGAGTACTCCCATCGCCTGAGGCGCAAGGCGCACAAAAGCGCTCGCGTGACTCATGTAAGGCGCATTACTTAGAAAATATCACATATACTATTATGCAAGTATCAAACATGATGTATATAACATCATATTGGACCAGCTACATTAAAAAGTCATGCTTATATATGATAAAATAATTAGAAAAATGGAATATATTCTCTAATTAAATGATTAAAAAATGGAACAATGAAGAGAGTCACACGTGATAGACCACTATATTAATAGTTTACCGATATAGGGGATGTTTGGAACTGATTCTGCCTCTGCTTCTTTTTTAAAGCAGAATCAGAATCAGAATCAGTTTTCAGAAGTTGGTCACCCCCGCTTCTAAAAAAACTGATCCTTTGAGTAAATTAGAGCACCAGAATCACTTCTACACTTTCACCCAAACACTCTAACTTCTGCTTCTGCTCCCTGAAGGAGCAGAAGCAGTTTTAAGAATCAGATCCAAACACCCCATATATGTTTGACTTGTATAGAGTTTATAAGAAGTAGATGCTGAAAAAAGAAAAAACAAAAGAAAATAGAACAGTGAAGGAGAAGAAAACTTACTGTCATTGATTGTGCTGCCAGCTTCTGCGGTTTGTGTGGAGATAGAGAAGACTGAGGTAATGTGAGCAGAGCAGGAGAGTTGAGGACTTGAGTAGCGAACACTGTGACTTGGGTTAATTAACGCAAATTTACATCATTTTGACCTTTTATGTAGATATTTAGTTGGGCTTTATCATATTAAAGATTAAAGATATGGGCTTCTTATTTAAAATAGTCTGAAACTAAAATATTATGCTTAAACGTGTGTTTTCCAACTCAGGCGAGATTAGTGAGCGCTATTTAGCGCTGGAGCGCTTCTGCGCATAACCTGCGCCTTACACAGAAAGCTGCGTCTGGTCTTTGTTCAGTCGATGGGGCTGATGTGCGCTTAAGCGCCCATGTGCTCGCTTTTGACTTCCTTGGGCCCGTGTTAAAACTAACGGCACCATGAGTGGAGGTTCCTAAATTGCAAAAAAAAAACGTAATTCCTGAAGCTATTTCACCCTAAAAAAAGTTTAGGGTCATATCTCCCCCTTGAACAAAACATTATTATTTTTGCCCCTTTTCCCATAAATAAATAAGTGTATGTACAAGTGTTTCACTTAATTAAACCATAAATATCAAATGTCAATATCTTGCAAATAATAATAAATCTAGTATCAAACATTAACCTTCTAGAATGAACAATTAAGAACTAAATAAATTATTATATATACTTAATGAGTAATGCATAAATAAACATTTTTTAAAAGTTTGGTTTGTTTGGTTCGGTTTTAGAGGTGAAAACCAAAACCAAACAACTACGGTTCAATTTTTTGAATTCGGTTTTGATTTTCTTAAGGTGCGGTTTGTTTTGCTTACAGTTCGAATTTTGTCCACCAACCCACCCTATCCTAATGTCTCTCTTCATCGACTTTGTCATCCACTTCTCTCTCTTTTGCAGGCCAAGTTTCATCCTTTGCCCAAAATTGCGCAAAAGTTCATATCGTCGGACATCGGAGGTTATTTCTAATGCTCTTTTTCTGTCCGCGCGCACTATGCTCAACAAATTGTCTTAAAGAATCTCTCAATAGGCTGCTATCCACAATAGCATCTATCAACATTACTCGGACCACTGGGACACACTTCATAAATGAAAAACGGAGTAACGATTACATTAGCTCATTGTGCAAACGCAAGCAATTTGAAGGAGCTCTCGAGGCATTCCAGCTCTTGAAGAGGACCACAGATCACTATGTATACCCGAGCACCTACACTAACTTGTTATCCGCCTGCTCATCCTTACGGTCGTTAGACTCTGCACGAGAACTACACAACCATGTCTTGATGTCTGGATATGAGCCTGACACGATCTTTCAGAATCATGTTCTTAACATGTTTGGAAAGTGTGGTTCTATGAAGGACGCTAGGAAGGTATTTGATCAAATGCTGGAGCGAAATGTGGTTTCTTGGACTTCAATCATTGCTGGGTACTCCCAAAATCACCAGGAAATGGAAGCAATAAGATTGTATTTTCAAATGCGAGAGTCTGGAGTCATGCCTGACGCATTCACTTTTGGTGCGTTACTAAAATCTTGTTGTAGTTTGGGTAAGCTAGAGCTAGCACAGCAGTTACACTGCCAGGTCATCAAGTCTGAACACGGGTCCCATCTCATCCCTCAAAATGCACTGGTTGCAATGTATACAAAGTTCTGTAAGATATGTGAGGCAGGGAGTGTGTTTTCTCATATGAAGTCAAAGGACTTAATCTCATGGAGTTCAATCATCGCCGGGTTGTCACAACATGGCTATGAGTTTGAAGCTTTGTATCATTTTAAGGAAATGTTTGGTTTGGGAGTTTACCAACTGAACGAATTTATTTTTGGCAGTATTTTCAGTGCATGCAGTGGTATTATGCAGCCTGAATACGGAAAACAAGCACATGGTATTTGTATAAAGTTTGGGCTTGAGAAAGATACTTATGCTGGTTGTTCTCTTGCTGACATGTATGCTAGATGTGGCCTATTACAATCTGCAGAAACTGCATTCTACCATATAGACAGCCCTGATTTAGTCTCCTGGAATGCAATCATTAATGGTTTTTCTTCTAACGGAGATTCTAATGAAGCATTGATTTTATTTTCGCAGATGAGGCATGTGGAGTTGGCCCCAGATGATCTCACAATGCGTTCTCTTCTGTGTTCCTTTAACTGTTCCTTCACATGGTTTCAAGGAAAACAGGTACATTGCTTTATAATCAAGATGGGGTTTGATTCAAACATTCCAGTGTGTAACACACTGATTTCAATGTATTCAAATTGTTCAGATCTTCCAAGCGCTTGTAGGGCATTCAATGAAATTCAACACAATGCCGATCTGGTTTCATGGAATGCCATTCTCACGGTTCATATACAACACAATGAGGTTGCAGAAGTTTTCTCTCTATTTAAGATTATGCTCCATAAATATCCCGATAATAAGCCCGACCATATCACTTTAGTCAATGTAATCGGGGCTTGTGGGAAGGTATCATCATTAGAAATGGGAGACCAAATACATCTCTATGCTTTGAGAACTGGGCTTAGCCTCGATGCCACGATTGGCAATGGGTTAATCGACATGTACGTGAAATGTGGATCATTAGGAAGTGCCAGAAAGCTCTTTGATGGTTTGGAGAGCGCTGATGTGTTCTCGTGGAGTAGTTTGATTGTGGGGTGTGCTCAGTTCGGGCTTTGCGAAGAAGCTCTAAAGCTTTTCAGGGAAATGAGGGATTTAGGGGTCAAACCAAGTCAGGTTACTTTTGTTGGCGTTCTAACAGCTTGTAGTCATGTTGGATTGGTGAAGGAGGGTTGGGCGTTGTTCCAACAAATGGAGACCGAGTATGGAATTGTACCCACAAGAGAACACTGCTCTTGTGTGGTTGACATGTTCTCCCGAGCTGGATGCATAAATGAAGCGGAAGCTTTTATAAACCACTCACCGTTCGAACCTGACGTTGTAATGTGGAAAACATTGTTGGCAGCATGTAGAACTCGCAATAATCTTGATGTTGGAAAAAGGGCCGCTGAGAATGTTTTGAAGATTGATCCCTCAAACTCTGCAGCACATGTGTTGCTCTGCAACATATATGCTTCTGCTGGGAATTGGAAGGACTTCGCGACGGTCAAAGGTTTGATGAGACAGGATGGCATAAAGAAATCTCCTGGTCGGAGTTGGATTGAGGGCAAAGATGGGATTCACATATTTTTGGCTCAAGATGGTCAGCATCCAGAAAGAGAGAAGATATATGCGATGCTTAATGAGCTTTGCTTGCAAATGGTAGATTTTTGGGGCGATGCTCCAGTTCATGTATGAGATTCCAAAGGAACTTAAACTTAGCTATGGGAGCAAGATACTTTGATTACAGGTATTTCTGTGCGGTCAAAAAAATCAAAAAACATACATCTTTTTGTATCCGCATAACTTAGGTTTGGAAGCATAATAATTTTTGAAGTTATTAAAAAATGATTTATTAGGAAGCAATGTTCTAAAAACAGTTGGAAATATTTGGATGTACTATGTTTGAATCTTATGAATGCTAAACACCCAATTCAGTTCCTAAATTCAATTCTTAATTCTCCAAAGCTAAAAAAGAATGGACCATTGGGAGATTTGCGATATTATTGTATCCTGTTTTCCATAGGAGTATTATAACTATAATTGTATGATTACTTTAAAATTTAAGAGATTGAATAATCTAGCTCTTCACTTATTCTTTTTGTATATATTGATTAATGTGTTGAAAAAAGGAAGAAGTAATAACTTGTTATCTTGCAAATTTTTACTTACTTTGTTTTATTTTAACAGAACTTAAAACATAAAAAAAAGCTTCCATAAAAGCAGAGTAGATTAAGGAAAAATAAGTGGATGCAGTATTATATTTTCATTGATCTGTAGGTAAAATTCTAAATATAAAAAATAAATTATTTCTGTGTACGAATAGATGTTACTTTGGTCACTTTTTCAGTTAAATCAAACGGGCTTTTTTACCCCGTTATTCTGTTATTATCCCACTGCTCCAGTTTTGGTTGCTGTTTTTGTAAGAGCCAAAGACTTTTTTTGCCGCTGCGTATGGCGTTTTTAGCTGCTAAACCAGAGTTTCCTCCGTCACATCTTTTATCCTCAAAATTTCATCTATAGACACGTGATAGGAACCTAATAGTATAATAATGATGAAGTAATGTTACATAGTTTGTTATTGTGTTAAAGGGGGTCTACGCCTGGTATTATTTAGTTATGGGCCGGCCCGTAAACAAAGTATTATAAATAGGAGCTGGGAATAGAATAAAGGCAGGCAGAAAATTGGATTTGGAATTAGGCTGGGAGTGGGAGACGACTTGAACTGTCTCAACAGTATCCGTTCTTCTCTATTTTTCTGTCTATGCCATTGTAATCCAGTTCAACCTCTGAAATCTTCATCAATAATATTCTATTTTCTACTGTGTTATTGAGGTATCTAACATTGGTAGCAGAGCAAGATTGGAGAAGAGGATGGATTCGCTGGAGAAGATGCAGACATCGCTGAAGAAGAACGTAACAGACATGAGAATGATGGCGGAAAATCTCGCCAGAAAGCGAGCAGCGATGAACGAACACCACCAGACTAGAGGGCAATCGCGGTTGCCAACAACTTCTTTCAGTTCACAATCCTCATCGGTAGCAGCTTCCCACAATTCATCATCGCAAGTTTCCCACAGTTCATCATCGCGAGAAATCTCTTACAATCGTCCGCAGATGTCTTCGCAATCCTCTTCGTTTCTCACATCGTTTGTCGTACCTCATAGTTCGCAGATGCGAACGCCTTCTCTCAGTTCGCAAACTGTATCACAATCAGAAGTCTCCACTTTGCAGTCGCTAGCCAAGCATCTGAGTACACAGGTTTCTTCTGAACCTGTTAACCTGCTGCAACCTTCCTCTGATGATAGGAGTGCTTCGCAATTTGGAGAAAATGCAGAGAAGTTCACTGAAGGCGACAATTTAAACGAGGAGAAATTGTCAGTGGTCGCTGGACCTGAAATTGGCTCAACTGCAGTTCCTGTTTCTCTCGGATGCCCAGCTTCTCATGTTCTAAAGGTTCTATGGAATTCTTCAACTCAGTTTTTGGTAGAGTTCTGCGTGTCACTTCTCAAAATGTTAATAATCCTAATGCTTCACAAGGACCTGGTCAAAATCTTCACATTGTTGAGGATAGGCTACAGCCAAACACAGAGGGTGCAGGAGTGCAAAATATTAGGCTGTTTGGAGGTTGTTTGAACTTGTCTCTTTCAGACTATTCGGAAGGCCACAAGGCGGAAAATCAGTGTGATAGCGTTGTTAACTTACAACCATCATCTGGAGGTAAAAGGTTTCCTGTTATTCTGTTGCATTGTTCGGCTAATGTCTATGGTGGGATTGAAATTGGATTTGAAGAACCTAATAGTATAATAATAATAAAATAATGTTACATAGTTTGTTATTGTGTTAAAGGGGGTCTACGTCTGGTATTATTTAGTTATGGGCCGGCCCGTAAACAAAGTATTATAAATAGGAGCTGGGAATAGAATAAAGGCAGACAGAAAATTGGATTTGGAATTAGGCTTGGGAGTGGGAGACGACTCGAATTGTCTCAACAGTATCCGTTCTCTATTTTTCTGTCCACACCATTGTAATCCAGTTCAACCTCTGAAATCTTCATCAATAATATTCTATTTTCTACTGTGTTATTGAGGTATCTAACAACACGCGGGGCAGGTTGTTCTCTAGTTACTCGGTTTCATGTATAAATATATAGTTCTGGAAAAATATCATGGGATCGGTTTGCTTTGGAGGCTGTGAAGGCTTCCATTAAGCAGCCAGGAGCTTTTCCCAGGTTGAAGGTATGGTTATTTGAATAAATTTTCGTGCAAAGCCATACAAAATTTTATCATCATCCACCATCATCATTACCCCAGTGCCACAAAGGCTCCCACCTACGGTGGGGTAAGGGGGGGTCGGATGTTCGCAGTTTTACCCCTATACTAAAGCACAGAGAGACTGTTTCCGAATGACCCGTAGTGAAAATCGCGTCGAAAATTGCATGGGCTGACTGTTACTTCATAACAAAGAAACGCAAACAGTTTAGTGAGCCATTTTGCTTTACTCCACTATATTCTCAAGCCAAAAAATAGTGAGTCTTTGGCTCCATACAAAATTTTATGCGTTTATATATTTTTATCATCTCCAGCTCAAAGAAAGGGAAGCGAAACAGGTCCCGAAAGGGATTATACGACTCATCGACTCCTCATGAGGCTATTGAAGGTTTATATCTATTCTTATGTTATTGTTATCTTATTTTTATTTTATCCGTTTTATCTTACTTCCCACCTCCCCCGTCTGTCTCTCTGTTTGGAAACGATATCATAGATCGATTCATGTTAGCCGATCCCAAATTCTTTTGGGATTAAGGTTTGGATGTTGTTGTTGTCTTTGTAGATTCCTTAAACATGAGTGATTATTTCTTCTATTGGATATAATAAACATGACATGCCTGCATGTTTGCAGTATTTGAAGTTAAACCAGAATATATAGTACTCCCTCCGTCCCATTTAAACGTTCCCACACGGTTTACGACGTTTGACTGATCATAAAGTTAACTGATCCCTGTCATTAGTAGAATTATTTTTAGTAAATAAAATTTACATATTCAGAAACTACATTAAAACCGCTACAAAGTCTGATCAAGAAAATTTAAATTTGATAAAAGTTGGAAAGATAAAGTAAAAGATTAAGAACAATGCACGTTGACCGGAGAATAGTGGACGGGAACCTTTAAATGGGACGAAGGGAGTACTATTTTTCTAAGTCATCTTTTAACTTTTTGATGAATGTGATAGTTTATTATTGCTGCAAGTATATGATCGTAAGGTTTAGCATTGATTATTGTATTTCATCTGATACTGTTGTTAAGTTTTGAGTGATTTGGATGGAAATTAGTGTTTTGGGGAGGCAAATACACTTTCTTTTTTCATTTGTCCCAAAATTATGACTTTCTAATTTAAACTCTGATAAGTTGCTAACTTTTTAGTTTCCCACTTCTCTATTTTTTTTAATTTGTCATATCACTCTTTACTTTTTGTGGACACATTTCATTTTCTTTCTCTAGGAGGTTGTACTGGTAAAAAGACAACTACCTCTTTCATTTTTATAAAACTCACAATGCCAAACCCAAATAAGTCAGAGCAAAAACTCAAAAAGCAGAAGGCTTAATTGTGTAGCCGTGTAGTGCTAAGCCTTGCCAAGAGTTCAAGCAGCCAAATAAGGAGAAAATTGAACTTGCTTGCATTAGCTCTTAAGTTACTTTTTGTAGCTGAAGGTTGGTATCATTTAGCTGATGCTAAACCTTGGACTGCTTTGATCATGCCATTTACTCTTAAGTTAATCTATATTTTGAAGTTTGTGTGTCATAGTATAATGTTACATATGGTACGGTACAATATTGTTTATTGCAGTGATTGGAGAAGCGTCATGCTTTTCTAATCAACTACTCTTTGATTGACAGTCCCCTCCAAATTTTCTAAGAAAAGAACACACTCCCATTCTTTGGCATACATTTTTCTTCAAGCATGGTTTTCTCCAAACAAGCTGATCATTTAGTGTTAAAGCATGAAGTGCTAAAGTTACTGTTGCATTGCCGATTCGGGCTTCGGGCTTGATTTTTTTGGACCGATTCGGGCCTAACAGCTACTTTTTCAAAAAAAATTAAATTAAAGAAGGGCCCGACCCGGGACCGGTACTGTTTGGGCCCGTACTAGAACCGTTACCGAACCAATTGGTACTGGGCTTCACTTTTCCAATATCGCGAGCCACCGGGACCGGGCCCAACCCGAGTCCAACCCTGTCCATATAATGAAACAAATCATTAATCGAGACCTGCTTACAATTCAAGGTAATCCCACTATTATCACAGTTTCTATGCCCACTAAATATGCACTTCATATATTCAATTTTACTTTGGCTCTTCCTGAACTTCTTGCACTCTACTGTTTGTCACCATAATTCCAATTTCATTTCAACAACTGATTTTATTTCATCAATCAACACAATATCATTAGTAAACATCATGCATCATGTTACATCTTCTTGAATTGACTTTAAATTCATCTATGACAAATAAGAAATGATTAGGAGCCAGTCCATGATGCACTTTGATAGTAATAGAGTTCTGTGTAACTCCTCCTTACATTGACACATACATTTCTAATAAAATCTTCACAAATATTCATTTGATCCATGATACACTTTGATAGTAAAAGCGAGTTACACGTAAATCCTCCCTACACTAACACGAACAATTCTAATAGAATTTTCATACATATTCATGATGATGTTAATATATTTATGTGATATCTTTTATGACCATCAAATAACTCCTTTAAGGTACCCTATTGTATGCATTTTTCTAAGTCAATGAATACCAAATGTGATTCTTATTCGTATCTCTATACATCTCTTCAGGTTGTGTAAGAGCATCTTCAGGTTGTCTAAGAGCATCTTCAATGGCCCTGTTAAAAAATTAATTAGACATTGTTTACATCGTTGTCTTCCGTTAACAGCACCCTTCACATGGTGACTCGGCATATGCGAAGCAGAAACCGTAGAAAATATCCTGAAACTCCCACCGATTAAAATTTCTGCCCGTCAAAACATTCCTTCCCGGAACATATTTGCCAGTAGCAACCACTCGGAAAAATTATCTCTCCCACCTAGGGGTGGATTCGGTTCGGGCCACCCGGCTCGTGACTCGGCCCGACCCGGTACTGTGCGGGACCGGGACCGGCCCGGTCGGGCGGTCCGGGACCGGGTGTAGACCCAAACCGGTGGGAATGGGCGGGGCGGGCACGGTTCCGGAAAAATGTGACCCGGCCAGGGTCCGGGTCCAACGGTCCTATTTTTTTTTAAAAAAAAAATTGTTAAATACTTACTAGCCGTTATGGCCTTGGGGGGTGGGCTGGGGGGTTGGGTGGTGGTGGGGGATGGGGGGTAAAAAAACCTATAAATACTCCTAATCTTAAACATTTTTTCATATCTCTTCTCCAATTCTTCCTAAATCCTATTCTTAACTCTCTACTCTCTAATTCTCTTATTCTCCATTCTCCAATATATTATATTTATTATTTATAGTTTATATTAATTATCTACTTATATAAACTATAAATAGATATAAATAGTATTATATTACTTATATTTGTTATCTAATTATATATTACTTATATATTTATTATATCTATTAATATAGTTGGAATTATATCTAATTAATTTGAAGTCATTCTATTGCTCCCATCCAAATGTTCCCGGTTTTAGCAAAGAGGGCTAAGCAAGTGCTATCAATGCCGGTTTCAACGGTTGCCATGGAACAAGAATTTAGTTCGGTCGGCAATGTCCTAACACAAACCAGAACGAGGTTGAGCGCTGAATCTTTTGAGATGCTTATATGCTACCATGATTGGTTGAAAGCAGCCCGTAGAGCTCAAGAAATTGACATCACCCCATCCCAACACTTTATGGATGAATCTACAACCGAGGGTGGCTCTACCTATGCCGGAGATTCCGATTGAATGATTGATTAGTATTTCATGTTTTAAAAACAATTGTAGTTCCTATTTAATTTTCAAATGTAGTTCCTATTTCATTTCAAATAAATGCACTTGAAGTTTGTTTTTTAATACTTGTATAAAACTATAAAGTATAAAATATAAATTATAAAAAAAAATTAACCGGCCCGGCCCGGCGGGTGGCCCGACCCGTGACCCGGGCGGGTGGCCCGGCCCGAACCGGACCTGTCCAACCCTCGGGCCGGTCCCGGGCCCATATCATACGAACCGGCGGCCCGAATCCACCCCTACTCCCACCTCACCTCCCCCTGGAGTAAAGCTTCTGTAGGAATTAAATAATTTTATTCAAAGAATTTATTTGACCTTAAAAATAAAACATATAATCGAATACATGGTGATATAGGATCATTATTACCTCTATCTATATAGGGATGGACTCGGGCCGGGTGGCCCGATCCGGAACCGGCCCGGGACCGGTACTGTTCCGGCCCGGCCCGACCCGGTGGCCCGGTCAGTGACCGGTCCGGGTAGGCCCAGCCCGTGGGTTTTCCGGTTCGGGCTCGGGTCACCCAAAACAAGGCCCGACCCGGCCGGGCCCGGGCCCGGTTCGGGCCAAAAACTATTTTTTTTTTCAATTTTTTTTTTAACTTTTCAGGTTGGACTGGGTATTTTGGGCCATTTGGGGTGGTTTGGAGGGTTGGGGGTGGGAGGGGGGTTAATTAGGAAGAGGAAAACAAAAAAAAAATATAATGGGCCCGGCCCGGACCCGGTGGTTACCCGGTCCGGTCCCGAGTCCATCCATATATCTATATAATCGAATACCCAGATATCGTTTGATATATTCATCCATGTAGAGAGTTGTCGCTTTTGATCGGTCAAATAATTGATAAAGTAGTCGGCGGATCTTTATGCCTTTTGGAGTGGAGGAGTAATATCATTAAATATTAATTTGAAAGATATATGGATTATGCGGTGGTTGTTACATGGCTATTGACATCATGCATTGGACATGATTTTTGAGCGTAAATGTCCACCTGCATCACTCCCATATGAGGTGGATGACTTCCATGCAGGGATGTTTGTTACTTCTGCTTCTTTTTTTAAAGAAGAAGTAGAATCAGAATCAGTTTTAAGAAGCTGGTACCCCTCAGCTTCTAAAAAAATTGATTCTAGGAGTAAATTAGAGCATCAGAATCACTTCTGCATTTTCACCCAAACACTCCAACTTCTGCTTCTGCGAAGCAGTTTTAAGAATCGGATCCAAACACCCCTTTAATAATTGACATGTGTCAAAATTTGTAGGATGTTAACGATAGAACCTTGAGGATGTTAACGATAGAACCTTGACATGCTTTAATATTGGGTCAAAGTTGTTGAATGACCCAATATAAAACCGAATTGATTTGCAGAATTCATCAAAGTTATTCGCAGCTTTTGCTAAATGCTCCCAATAAACTTTTTATATAAGGAGATGCGAGTATTTTTCCAACAACTCACAAGCATTTCATTGTTTCTTCAAATATTGTTAACCAACACACACGTCTTCCGAACTTCTCTAATCTCTATTCCCCTATCCGTATGCCATTGGTCTAAAATTAAATTTAAGGAATTTTATCAATTCAGGATTCGAAAGATAGATGAATTATCAATCCGGGACCTGAAAGATGAAATGTATCGATATAGGACCCGAATGATGGAAAACTATTAATTTAGGACTTGAATGATTAGAAATTATCAATTTAGGACCTAATCTGTTCAAAATTTTATTAGTTTTTTTTATTTTAAATTTTTTAAATATTATTTATTTTATGAAACTAATAAACTTTTGTGAAGAAAAGTTTATCAAAAATTAGCAATGGAATTAATAAAATATTAAATAAATCAAACCTATGAAATTTTAGGTCCTAGATTGATAATTTTTCATCATTCGGATCCTATACCGATATATCTCATCTTTCAGATCCAAATTGATAATTCATCTATCTTTCGAGTCCTGAATTGATAAAATTCCAAAATTTTTAAATATAAACCTGAACAACGCTCTTGATACATCGAGAGTTTACAAAATTTTCCGTTCTTACAAGTTACTACAATACTACTAGGAAATTGTGATTTGTATTGAAATGCAAGTGATACATCGAGTACAAAATGCATTAAACATAAATACTAATATACTCGAATCTTGGTGAATCAAGAATCACTTTACGTAGTAATTAATTCTTGAAGCTACAACATAATAAATTTTCAGTATATAACTGGAGGAGAGATGATGATGGTCTCCAACGCCATGGATATAGATTTCTTTGTTAAGTAGGTCTTTCAAAAGAGTATGACCGCTAAATCAAAATGCAGACCCTCCATTGCTTTTGGACTTTCCAAGAAGAATGTCTTTTGCTTCATTAATTTTGGATGCAAGATAATGGCTACCGCCTGCATCTGGGTGGTTAGCCACCATCACCCTCCTATGAGCTTCCTTCACTTTATCTTGTGGAGTGCTTTCTCTGTAGGACATCATCTAGGGGTTAATAAATAATGGCACTGCATAATACACGAACATAGCTTGTTGAAAGAACAAGAGGGAACATTGGGTGTATTCTTTTGAACTGAAATTTGCTGGTTTAGTCTGTTGGAGTCTGGTCTGGTATAATCTGGTCTGGTTTGGTTGGGAAAATGTTTGATCTCTCTGTATTTTATAACTATGGAAGTCTGGTCTGACCTGATCTGGTATGAGAGTGAAAACAATCCAAAAGAAAACATCCTAAGCAGGGATGAAAAAGTACTCAACAAAATACATCAGTCACATTAGCTTGTTCCCCCTATTTATCTGTCTAAAAAAATTCCCGTTCCTTTGTCCATTTATAATGCACATTAGACATCCTTTTCACTGTTTAACGTTATTATACTATTTAATTTACTCTTTTCCTAAGAAAATATAAAGGCATGACAGCTTGTAAATGAGGGTATTATAGATAAAGTATCAAATGTTTTGATTAACTTACAACTCCAATAACTTTTTTCTTAATCTATATGATTTGGTCAAGCTAGACAGATAAACAAGAAGAGAGGAAATAGAACCCAAGCATATAAAAATGAATTACTAAAACCTAAAGGAAGGCAAGCAGAAATGAAGAAGTAATTTTAACTCATGTAAGCAATTGGGAATGAAATCACCATCAATTTAGTCTTAACCTTGTAAAATCGCCAGAATAGAATCACACATAAGTATTTTACCATGTGGTACACATATCAAATGTTCTAAAAAGCATTGTCCGGCAAGCTAGTGCCTAGGTGATGGTAAAGCATGTGCAGGACTAGAAGGAATCAATTTGAGAGAAGAACATAGGCATATAAGAGAAACGTAGTGCCTTGGCATGGTATAGGCGGGGATTCTTATGGGCTATGGCAGAGCTTAGAAAAGCTGCAAAGAATAAATAAATAGTTGTTTATCCTCACAAATTGATTTTAGTTAATGCAGAATGCACACTCCATTTTGAAAAGATCATACTGTTGGAGTTTGTGAACTACAATGAAGAAAGCAGCCAAAAAGTTTTTAAAATAATTGATTATACTATTGTCCATGGATCATTACAGAAAATGGTGAAGTTTTAGGAGCTATTAATACCGCACATAATTTATCTTGAGACAGTTTGCCAAAAGCACAGGCCTCAAAGTCATAAGACCATGTACATGGATGATTACATATTTACAGTGTAAGTGGCATCAACAAAAATATGTCAAGACACTATTGTTAATCAAGGGAAAATGGCAGGGGAAAGCTCTGGGTTTGCAAGTAGAAGCTTGAAAAATTAAAATTTAGTTGGGATTTGAATAGGTAAAAAGGATATGCATACCTGACCCCGAGAATACGAGCTGCTTCCCTTCTTGTCATTTTAGGTTCAAAACCTCCTTCATAAAATTTACGCATTGTTGCAGTCGGTGGTCTTGCCTTGAAAGCTTGCCATGCAATAATACCATACCTACCTGCACAAGCAGCTGCTGCAATAGCAACTCCTGCTATTAACGGTGTCGTCTGCAAATATTTAGATGATTGTATTAAGGCTTCTAGTATATAAAATTTCAGATTTTAAGACTATGAGAAAGATTACAAAGCAGTTTTAAGACTTCTAGTCACAATATAAAGGCTTCAGCCTTCAAGTTAAAATTTGGAATTATAAATAATAAACATATAAAAAAAAGTAAGAATAGCACGGGCATAGATTGCTCTATATACAACGAGAGATATAAAGCAGGCGAGCATGAGTGGTTAAGAGAAGAAGTGGAGAAATAGGAAGAGATTAAGAGAAGTCAAAAGAGAAAGGAGAGAAGAAAAACTGATGTGAAAGAGGAAGAGGAACCAAATGTCCATCTGCTATACAACTTGCTAAGAGAAGGGAAAGAGTTCAATTTGTAATAAAGAACAAGAGGTGGAGTCATTCTTGGACTCTGGGAAGTGGAATTGCCGATTCTAGAAAAACTTGTGAGAACTAAATAGTTAAACTGACGAAGTGTTCGCCTAGAAAAGGCGGAAATGAGAAAGGAAGGCGTGCACGTTAAGGACTCGGCTGCACCAACGTTAGCCGTTGGGACTTTTCAATCGCCTTGCACCTATTCACATCTTGCATGAGCTTTTCAAAACTAAGGTCTAGGGTATGAAACTTTAAAAGAATTCTAAGATTTCTCATCATAAGCCCAGCCAGTGTATTAAAACCATGAGATATGCAGTCTAAAGTATGAAACTTTTAATGAGTTGGGCAAAAAACATGATTCAAGTTATACTTTTTATGAGCCTGCCCTAGTTTTTGGAGGACCATAGGCTGTCTAGGAAGGAGACCAAAATGGTAAGTGATCAACTCAATATCATCCAATTCAAATGATGAAAAGGGGTGAACTTGGTTCAAAAATAAATGAATACCGATCATAAACAGTGAAAGATAAGAATCAAGAAAGATGGAAATTTAGGTAAGGTCAGCTCAAAATCTATCTATGTATTACACCGTAATATATAAAGGCAAAAGAAATTTCCTACAGCCTTCCCACCTAAAGAGTTTGACAGGATAAAACAACTTATCATAGAGAAAAAAAATCCGCAAAACATGAATAACCGTGTAAAACAAAAGGCCCTATTCTTTGTGATATCACGATTCACACGACTACTTCTTGATCCATGTCCTAAGCTATGATATCACATCACCATAAATGCACAGGCACAAACACAAGATAACCTTCCCTATGAATAGTAGCAAACTTTTGAGCACCACCGAAAAACCCTTAAAATTAAAAGTCTTACCAAACAACACAAAAGCACAAAACACTCTAAAACAGTCTAAACAACACGCGTAGACACCTTATATGAAGAATTTTCAAAAGCATTCCAAAAATAAATATAAAAATGTTGTATTTGTTCAGCAAAAAACACGAGGAGTGAAATCCTACAATAAGGTAAAAAGCCGCTTCGAATTTAATTATAAACACTTAATTAGAAACAGAGAAAAAGAGTGTAAAAGAGGTCTAAGAAAAATAAGTAAATACCATTACTTTTGTCTTCTCTGAGTTAGACCTGTACGCAACACAATCAAAGGTTCGAGTAGTTATGCAGACGAATCTGACATCGAACGGCGTTGGGATAGTGACCCTGTGCAACAACAAAATTTGGGCATCCCATTCCAACATAAGTAGAAATAGAACATCAAAAGTATTTTTTTTGGAAACATAATTCCTATAATCCTGTACATGTTTTCAGATTTAAGTTAAAAGTCAATTTAATTTTGACTTAACCACTTCAAACCAGCAACCTAAAACTTAAAAAACTAATAACACACTAATACTAATTTATTAAATATGAACAGTTTAATTCATTCATGAAGACATCAGTTAATTCACCATAGATTAGTAGGCCTAAGCCCTAATGGCCCTAATACAACAACATACAAGCCTTAATCCTAATGGCCCTAATATATAATTAAAATCAGGGCCTCAATTAGACAATTACAACGTCACATAATAATGAAAAATAATAATCCAAACATATTAACAAAATTAAAATAGATAAACTTACCTCGTGCGGACTGGCAGAGGCCGTAGAGGCGCAGACGGTAGACTCGAGGTGCACTGGTGCGGACTGGAGGACTACGGACGTGCGGTGCTGGGCTGCGGTAGCGGCTGGCGTCCCTAGACGGTGGTCGCTGGGCCCTGGGGAGGTCTGCGACTCGGCGGATGCGGGATTCGGGATTCGGGATGCGTTGGAGACTTGCTTGAGGAGTTGCAGCCGTTGCTATGTGAGTCGGCTACTATAGGCCTAGGGATGAAGCCTGAAGAGGTTAAGGATGAACAAAGTTAGAGTGTTAATCAATTAACATAGTGACTTAAGGTTTCATATGGTTCATTAAGGTTTCATAGTGACTTGTTGTTGGAAACTCACCCAAGATTTTTTTCTCTTCAATTAAAATTGTTAGTCTTTTTTTTTCATTTCCTCTTTTGGTATCAATAAAGTAAAAACACGTGCTCCAAAGTGTTTTAGAATATTTAATTTGAGGTTTTAGAATGTCAATCACCTTGTGATTAGATAACATCACTATACCACTCCAAAGAAGAAGACCACGTGCTCGAAACTTAATGAATGTTAGCATTTAACAGAACAAATACTGTAACAAATGAGAAAGTGTAGTAAAAAAAATTGAGGTTTTAGAATATGCAATTTGATTTCAATTAAGAACATTTTATATTTAAGAAATTCAAAATATACTTTGGACTCTTCACTTCATACGATTTTTATGGAACTTTGGGAAATATCAATTTTTAAATTTATTTAATGAAATTAAAGCATTCAATTACATTATAATGAATTTTCTTAATTGAAACATCTAATTACATATGTTAAATCTAAATACACGAGTTAAGTTTTTTTTAGGTAAAAAAACAAAGGAAAAGGAGTACTAATGACTTTAATTGATGAAATATGAAAAAACCGAAAACATTAAATTCATGTTTATTTGGTCTATTTGAAACTCATTGTCTAATACTATCAATGAGATTTACATGTAAACAAAGTGTCCAATTTGATGTATTTGAATCCTTAATGTCAAATATGATATCTATGTATAATCACAGTGTCCAATTTGATCTTTATCCCGATTACTCACGGTTGGTAAACCTTTATTTTTATTCGAATCAAGAAGCAAGTGGTTGAATCCAATCATAAATCATACCTCTTCGCATTTTTATGAATAATGTAGAAAAAGTTTCTAATTTCTTGAGCCATATCATTTTAATTTACATATAATGATTCTAAATGCATATGTAGTTCCTTCTGGACGATTGTCATTCTCACTGTCATCTTTTTTTTTTTACATTTTCATCATCTATAGTTCTATACTTAGATATTCATTAAAAGACAATGTATTTTCATTGTCATTACTTCATAAATGTATTTTAATTATTATCATTTGCCTCAAAATCGATGTGTGGTGTTAAAAGACAAGGTTATGTTTTTAAACATCTATAAATAGAAACATAAAAAATTATAATATTAATTTCCTTTATTTAATGTTTTTCTTTGAAACTAGTCCCATAACAATGTTTCACTTTTCAAATTATAATAAGAACTAAAAAAGACAACTTAAAACAAAATTAATTATAGTAAATAATAATCTTACTAAGAATACATTTTGTAAAGAATATATACAGAAATTTTTGTTGTTGAGTATGTGTAAAATTATTTTCTTTTACAAAGAATATACGAAGTATTATACTAGTATTAAAACCAATATCATAGTTTTTCAATAAATGGCACGCTACTTTGCTGTGGGACTGTGGGAGCCTTCCTAAGCCCCACAGGCCACAGCCGGCCCTGTGAGCAGTACTCGACTAGGCCCTTCCCATACTTAGTTTTTTATTAGTTATTCCACATTCTTTTGTAAAAAAGTTTATTAATACTTATATCAATTTTCAAATATGGCAAATATATTTATTTCAAGATAAATAATTATCCTTAATTTTTCATCTTTCTTTCCTTTTCATCCTTCTATCATGATTTTTTCAACTTTTTCTGCTTTGCATCTTCACTACAAAGTTTTTCTCTAAATAACCGCAAAAAAAAACTAATGGAATATGAATCAACTAATAAAAAAGAGTAACAAAAAATCAAAATACGGCTTATTAAGAACATCTCGAATGGTTCTTTGTTAAAACTTGGTTGCAATTTTGAAGCTAATAGCCAAAATGAACCAAAATGAGCATTGGAGCATTGATTTTTCTTTTACTTGAGAAAGCTAATTAGCCAAAATGAGCTACTAGCTTGAGCAAAGAGGAATATTAAAAATAATATTATTGATAATAAATGAAGAGGAAGAAGTTATAACTAAGTGTCAAGCTATAGTTATGCAGGTTTTAGCTAACCTATTGGTGGACTCGGGCCGGCTGGTCCGACCCGGAACCGGCCCGGGACTGGCACTGTTCTGGCCCGGCCCGAATCGGTGGCCCGGTCAGTGACCGGTCCGGATAGGCCCGACCCAAGGGGTTCCCGGTTCGGGCCAAATTGATTTTTTTTGTATTTTCATTTGTTTGGGCTCCACCCGAGTAGGGCTTGATGTTTAGGAGGGGTTTGGGGGGTGGGGGCATGAGGGAGGGTCAGGGATAGGTATGTAAGCAAAATAAATAAATAAACAAGCCCGAGACCCGGCCCGGGCCGGTCCCGGGTCCACCTATTCAGACCATCCGGCCCACCCGGGCCTATGCCTGACCCGGACCCGGCCCGGCCCGAATCCACCCCTAAGCTAACCGTTGGAGAAGTTATATTTTAATTTGTTCCAAATGCTTATGTGGCTAGTCAAGCTATAGTTATGCGGGTTTTAGCTAACCATTGGAGATGCTCTAAGTGGGACACGCCAACTTGGTAAGTATCTAGAAAAAACCAAATCCTTGGAACATTGACACTACACGTAATCATGTTATTACAATTTCAATGTGTAAGGATTAAGGTAACATGAAGATGTAGCTCAATAAATAATAAACTATGTTGGCTTCATCTGTTACCAGACAGACCATAAAACAATGAATCTCTATAACCATACAATTCTGTAGACAATTTGAACTTTTACAAGTATATACTTGGTATATGCCAATCCTTTCATCTGTCACTCTGCTCCATTCATTTTCTCTGCACAACGAGGTAGAATCAACCATACACATTGATACAACACAATTTTGATGAGATGAATTGATTAGCTGACCTCCACATTGATGTTCTCCACCCTTGGCGGGCCAGAATGCCGCCTTGGCTTGGCTGGTGAAGGCGGGTAAGAGAGCCTTTTTTTCACACTCAAACCCGCTGATCCCTTCTCTGGAGTCCCATTATCCAAACCTAACGGGCTATGCATTCGTGTTTTAGCCTTTGCCGATTTGGTGGGTGTCATGTAGCTGGGCGTGGATTGGAAGCTCGCCAAACTCTCGTCATCTCCAACCGATTTGGTGGACCCTGCCGTGCTGTGCCTCCGATTCCTCTCTGATTTCATACTCGGCGTACTTTTGATATCATCATCATCTTGGCTTGTTGTACTTACTCTGGGGCTCTGTAGTTTCAGTTTTCGGGCAGCCACCGAAGAAACGGGCAGCTTGGATAGTGAAGATAAGGGTGGTTCATTGTTTAGCTGATGACGTGCAAATGACTTGGTAATTATTTCTCCCCCGTCGGGAGCGCTTTGGGTATCTAAAGACCGACCACCCAGCCACCGTTCCAACCAGCTCCAGCCCCACTGAGGATTGGTTGGATCCATAAACAATAATAGATTGGAAGATCTTGATGACTTCTTCCAGGTTTGCTGTCATGTTAGATAATCACCAGAAGTTAAGCCTGTGGCCTTTATATATATAATAAAAAGAAATATTCCCCAAAACTAGTTGAGATATAAACCATTATGGTTTAAGGAATTAATGAGGCTGTTTTTGAAAGACGAAATGTGGCTACAAAGAAAACAATGCTGATATTTTATTTAGTTGAAGAACATTAAGAAAATTCAAACATTACTAACTTTAACATATGTTTAGATTTTTGTGTATCATAAAAATAGATGAATTAAATTGTTTTGAACTAATAAATAGAGTTGATTTATTGAATTTGATTTTTTCCTGAACTTTTCTTTCCAGAAACGTTCTCTGTTTTGTCATGTTTTCCCTTCCTTGTTTGTTTCACTACCATTTTCAAATTTTAAAATGAAGCCTACATGACATATTATGGAAATCTTGTAAGAAATGATCATAAAATTACTGCTAACACACATTGCTAATGAAACGTTTCCATATTCACTTATTGATGTTGAAAAAGGGACTGTGACAAATTGTTACCTGATGAGAATATGAATAAGCTAATGCTCTTTCCCGTCTCATGGCAGCTTCATACTTGCTTAGCAAGCTTGCTTCAATTTTCTCCTTTGATTGCATACTATAATCCCATCCTTCTCCTCTCTGTAAACCATTTAATTTAAGGAAATTGTGGTTAGGATAAAGATGATATTGCCAAAACCCTAACATTTGGAAAAGGAAGAACAAAGGCAGATAAATATATTATTTTGCTCATGAAGAGGTATCATTAAACAAATGAAGCTTTACGTATATTTGTATGAAGGCCTTAGAAGACGTTTGTCACAGTGAAAGTTAATTAACTATGGAATACTTTTGGAAAGAAGAGAACATAGTAAAGTATTTGGACACAGATAAGATAGATGGGCTTGTTTCATTTTTCTGTTAGCGCGTCAAGTAATTTTCTTTTATAAAAATCACATTTTCAAGGAAGAAAATACTCAAAAATAAATTGAATATTAAAACCACCAGACTTACTGGCAATAAATTCATTGTATCAGTGTGCTGTAATTGCAATTTTGCAAACCTTTTCTTAACCCTTGTATGGTTGGAGAAATTTAAAGGAGAAGAAAGTGGGAGAATGTGGTGTGATTGGTTTTGAAAGTCAAGATGGTGGGGTTGAGGGTGGGGGCGGAGAAGCTATGCACTTTACAAACTCCTAATTTCTCACTCCAACTTTGGATATTTTGGAGTGATCGTTTTCTTAATTTCCTATACACCCCCTTAATCATAACTATTCTATATTGTCAATTTGTCATTATACACAGATTGCTAGATTTTATATTACCACAAAAAATACTCCTTATGTCTAATATTTATCTTCATCCTTTCCTATATTTTGTCTCTGTATTATCTCGTGTTTTTCTTTTCATGAAATGATTTTAAGATTGATATTGTTTTCTTGCCTCTAAACAAATTTCAACCATATCTACTTTATTTAATACCATCATGCAAAGTCATAGCAACAGTTAACATAGGGATGAAGGGAGTGCCACATAAATTTATTATACATTTTTTTAAAATAATAATTCTGCATCATTTAATTTCCATCATTTGCAATGGAGCCAAAGATTCATTATTTTTTGGCTTGAGATTACGATGGAATAAAGCAAAATGGCTCAGTAAACTGTCTGCGCTTCTTTGTAATGAAGCAGCAGTCAGTCCATGCAATTTTGGACGCGATTTTCACTATGGGTCATCCGGAAACAGTCTCTATGTGCTTTAGTATAGGGGTAAGACTGCGTACATCCGACCCCCCCTTACCCCACCGTAGGTGGGAGCCTTTGCGGCACTGGGGTAAATGAAAATGATGAAAATGAATAATTCTGCATCATTTATCGATTCATGTTAGCCGACCCCAAAATCTCTTCGGACTAAGGCTTGGATGTTGTTGATGTTGTTGTAATAATTCTGCATCACTCCTCCGTGGAAGCAAACATATCTTTGTTAACTCGTTCCCTGTACTCCCGTCCCCACCCTTGCTTTTACTCCTCCCTCTACCCTTGTTTTGAACCAAATAGGGGTAACGAAAATCTGGATAAGAAAATAAACTTACCCTCATGTTCTCAAGTTCTTTAGCATGTTTCTGCAAAAGTTGTCTCTGTAGTGCTCTGTTCTCCTCCAGCATCCTATTCCTTCTAGAGTGTATCTGAGACTGTACACGACAAAATGTCTGCATACACTTCAAAGCATTCATAGTTTGTCGTTTCACCGTTGGCCCATCAACTAGAAGTTTTAGCCTCACAAGCCCTCTTAACGCCTTCAAAGCTCTCCTAGCCTGCACATCATGGAAGAAAACCTTAAGCCAATTGTTTATTACTCCCGTAGCATAAACAAACCATGCCACTTCATAAATTGGATGTCTTAGTGAAGTTATTTACAATATCAATCAAAGTGATAAAAACCTTTTCATAGTGAATATATACATATATGTATTCTCTCCGTCCCAGAAAAGGACTCCTGTTTCATCAAGGTAAAACTTTTTAACTCTCATAAGGTAACACTCATCATCATTATCATTACCCCCAGTGCCGCAAAGGCTCCCACCTACGGTAGGGTAAGGGGGGTCAGATGTACGTGGTCTTACCCCCACTGGCGGATTGACTATTTGGGGTTTGGGTGTTCAATTTTTTTCTACCATTAAAACTTTAAACAACAATAATTAACTACCCTCAATTTACACATATATACTCAAAGACTTTTCAAAAATCTAAGTGTTCAAGAGAACACTTTTGATACATAGTGGCTCCGCCATTGCTTACCCCTATACTAAAGCAGGGAGAGACGGTTTCCACCTTCCCTCCTACTTTTTCCACACCATTCATGACCCTTAATACATTTCCAAATATTGTGCCAAACCCTATTGTAGCAAAAAATAGAATTCGGAGGGAGTATATTTCTACATTTACTTGTCTATGAAACTTTATATAACTCATCCTAACACTATTTTTAAGAAAAATTATTTTGAAGAAAATGGAAAATGCATCTTTTGTCTAAATTGGACTCCCTTTTTATGTCACAAAAAGGTTGTAAACCATTGACTCTTTTTGGGGCCGGAGGTAATAAGTCTTCTAAGACATTTGTTCTGAACAAACCTAGGAATTATATATCGAAGTGTCACGATGCTGGGAATTGGCGTTTATAAATAGATATATACCAGGTATCCTCGGAAAGCAGTCTGAATCTTGATTGCAACACGTTCTTCCTGGGATTTGACAGGAATTTGAACTTGTCTAGACTGAACAACTTCTGAAGCAGCATGAGAAGCTGGAAAAAAAGCTTCAGAAGTGGAAACTGCAACTGAGTAAGGGTGTTTTGTTTGCTCTTCCACCACTTCTGCTAATTTTAACCCTTCACCTGGAGGAAGTGGTGTTGATGATTTGGAAGTTTCTACATTTGAGGATAATGGAACTGGAGAAAGTTCTTTCTCAACCCATTTCTTGTTTTTCTTACTTGCTTTCTGAAAAGCAACAATGTGTATCATTAGTCATTTCCAGAGAAAAGATTGTCAATATTGTGAGCACAATAAATAAGAAAGCTGTAAAGATGAAATCTAGAAGAAAGGATAAAAAGTGCACCTTGTCTTTTGATTCTGGGTTGAAAACCTTTTTTATTGAAGACAACCAGCTGCCTTTCCTCCCCATTCTGTATTTTCATTCCCCAGATTATATTCTGGAGTATAACATAAGATCAATGTTCAGCAGTTCATATGGTCAACTACGTAAACTGTTCACATGAAAGATGCATAGGTGGCTTGAAATATCAACAAGATAAAGTTTACCATAACTTTTTCCTCTCATTTCGAGTCCATTTGGAACACAGAGTAGACATAATATGAAGCAACTAAGAAGGAAACAATGTAGCACAGGCATAGATAGGGAGGCAATGCCCACCGCTAGTTAGGTGAAAATCTTTATTTTGTAGGTAAGTTTCTTTTTGAAAAATTATATGAAAAATTATTTTACCAGTATTCTGTTCTGCCTACGCCACTAAACATGTAGAAAATTTATTCACATTTCACTTTCCTTCGTATTTACCAAACTAACAACATGTGTACCCAAAAAATTGTTGTCCTAACCATTGATTTTCCTTTTCCTAGCATTCTCTGGAACCCAAACATACCAGTAGGGTCTGTTTGGAGCACAGAAAATGGAAGGGAATGAAAACAGGGAGGAAAATGTAGGAGATTTTTTTTATGAAAACCAAACCTTTTTTGGAACTTAATATTTTTTAGTATACTTGTTTGAGTTAATTTCTATTTCTTTACTTCTATAACATAAATGCTAAAAAGTCTAAACACATTAATTGTTTTAAAGCACCAATTATATATCATTTTCATTAGGATTTTCTACGGCAAATCCAAACATTACAAAATAACTTCCCTTGACATGATCCTTCCTTTCCCAAGCATTTCAGGGGATCCAAATATAGCCTTAATTTTTCGAAATTTACTTGGAAACGAAAAAACTAATACTCGTGCCTTATTTTTCCATGATGGTCTTTGATTCAACTTGCAAAAAGACTATGAAAGAAGTCAAACAAGTAAAGATCTCTGATCAATGCGTGCAAGTGTAACTGGTTATGAAACAGTGTGATATCTCATTGCACAAATCTCTGTGTTAATCTTGGCTGCAACTAAGGAAACTGTCATCCCAAAGTCAATTAAGATTTCACTTACTTTTCCAGGAAATCCATAATAAGCAAAGTGAAATGAATCGAATCTCCTTGCAAGTTGATCCCAAACTCAGATACTAAAACAGTAAGAGCTTCAAGAAAAACCATAACATTCCATAAAAGGGTGTCATACAAACCTATATTTCTACCAATCTACCATTTCCACACAGACCAAAGAACAGCTATACACATTTCTCAATTTTCACTACCACAAAATTGTAGACCCACAAATCTCTGCTCTTGGAATATATCAAGTTTAAAGCTTTTTTTTAAAGCACAAAGGAGAAAAACGGATTGCTAAAAATCTATACACAAATAACAATAATACGGAATAATAATAGTGATAAACATATAATAATAAAGAAAATTTGACATGTTTTAAAGAGAAGACTAGAAGAGTGAGTTGAAGATACCTCTGATTCATAACTTCCAGATCTCAGCAAGTCCTTAAACTGCTATCATCTTGTTCATCATTTTCCCTTTTGAATCTGTACACGAAACGAAAATGTTGAAAAAAGAAAAGAAAAAGAAGAAGAAATGGATCCCGCTCTCTTTTTCCGGTGAGAGTAAGGGAGAGATGAGATCTCAGCAAAGATTGAAGGAACGATGACAGAGGACCTGAAGAATATACAAGCTGGTATACTGGCCCCACCAACCTTAATTATTAGCGTGTAACAATGAAGATTAGATGTTCCAGCTTAATTCTGTCTCACACTTCTGCACTGACTAAACTGGTGTGGGCTCAACTAATTAAGTTATTGGGATCAAAGTGCATAATTGAATCTCTTGCATTTAATTAACTAAACTGTGTTGAGATCTTATTTCATTACTCTCTCTTTCCAAAATTAATAGGAGTATACATTTGAATATAGCACAAATATTTAGGCATGTTACAAAATTATCTTTCTGTTTGTATACATGCTTAACATTGAGAAAAGTTAACATTGAAGAATTTCTAAGATTTAAATATGCACTAAATTCATGAAACCATAGTTATTTTGAGAGGAAAACAAAGTTCAAAACTACCATTAAAAATTTAAGGAGTGAGTGTATCAAGGTTAAGATTTAGATTCATACTCTTAATTTTTTTTTGGCTAAACTTCGTAGTCTCTCTTTATAGTATCTGTTCAATAATTTATTATTAAATGTCAACATCCTTGACTGTGATGGGTTTTGAATCTGTGACCTCCTCCTTGAAAGTGTCAAGATAATGTCATCGAACCACAAGATGCTTGGCTAGATTCATACTCTTATATTAAGGCGGTTTTGGATAATGATTTCAATCTCATACCAGACCATATCGAATTATAAGAGGTTTACACCATAATACAACACTCATAAAGCGGGCCTAAACCGGACCTAAAGAGACTAGACCTGATAAGATCATAAGATCACTTATTTAACTAATCCATAATTAAATTTGATTAACACCAATGTATACTTGAAATTTAATTAAATTTAAATAATTAAAAGTCAAAAAATCCAAATTAGAATATTATAAAAATTTGGTATCCCAAATAACTAAATAAAGTCAAAATACGTTGATAAAAGAAAAGAAAACTTGCCAATCATTTTGAAATTCCAAGACGATTTACGCTGATCCTTAAACTTAGAGCCCGTTTGGTAACACTAAAATTGGCTGAATTGGCTGATTCTGCTGAAATTTATGAAGTTCTGGTTGAAGTGACTGTATTGGCTGATTTTGCTGATTCATGAAAAAATTATATTTAAAATATTTGTTATCAATAAATTAAATAAAAAATTATATGAAAAATAGCTACAATGATCCTCCACAGTAACTCTAGCCAAAACAGCCAGAAAAGTAACTTCAACCTTACTTTTTCTGCTTATTACAAACTTCAGCGCGCGAAATCAAAACCTACGTGTTTGGTGAAAAAGCTGACTGATAAGCCCGATAAACCGAAAAAAGGTCACCAAAAGGGCTCTTAGAGTTCTACCATTTAATCCATAAACTTTAAAGCTCATACCAGTTCAGTCATTCTCTTTTTGAGTTTTTTCACTTTTAGTCCTCCGACTATTATGTCATTGACATTTTTGGTACTCGACTTTGATTTTTTCCATTTTTAGTTCTTGACTATTGCGCTAGAGACACTTTTGGTACCCGTCTTTGAAAATTTCTATATTTAGTCCTTCAACTTTTATAAATGTGATACTTTTGGTCCTCCAACTATTATAATAGTGACATTTTTAGTCCTCCACTTATTGTGTTAAAATCATAATGGGAGGACTAAAAGTGTCAATTTGACAATACTCAGGGACTAAATGTGGGAAATTTTGAAGTCGGGGACTAAAAGTGTCTCTAGCACAATAGTTGAGGACTAAAAATGGAAAAATTAGAAGCCGAGTACCAAAAGTGTCATTGACATAATAGTCGAGGGACTAAAAATGGCAAAAACTCTACTCCATACTATACAAAAATGTGTTTGTACTCACTTTTGTATCTACTTTTGTACCCATCCCCTATTTTTCTTGTGCACACAGGCAAATCTTTAAGAACAAAGCAGCATTTTGTCTGTGTTTTTCTATGTACACAGACAAAATAAGGGGATCAGTACAAATGTGTGTACAAAATCATGTGAAAACTCCATGCTATATACTCCGTATTGAACACAAAAATATACTTTGGAGAAGAGGTCAGCTCTCGACCCTATTCCGATGTCCTTCCTCCGGGCTGGGCTGGGCTGGGCTGGAGAGTTTTCACATGATTTTCTTGCCTCGCGCATATGGAATCACTTTAGATGAGGTCTCAGGTATTTTGAATCTGCTAGTCAACGATATCAATTTAGCCGATCCTACTCCATACTCTAAACCCGTTGCTCCACATCTCCAAAAGACACTTGATGACTTTCTTCAAATTTATCTTCTAGATATTTCAGAACTTGAAGGTATTGATTTACAGTGTTGGTTTAGAGTGTACTGATTTCTTAAAGTTTAGTCCTGCTTTATTACTTTTAAAGTTTTTTCTTTAAAGTGTGAATTCATTTGACGATGAGCAGCTATGTGTTGATTTGCTTGCTAATAAAATCCTCTTTGAGGTTTCCATTACCTTTCTATTGTGTGTGTTGTTTAGCACAATATAACCCGTCTTTACATGACTTATTCTGCTTACTTTGTTTGTCCTTGTCTTCAAGTAAGCTAGATAAAGCACAACAAGTAGCTTTTCAGTGACTTACTTTGCTGTTATATGATGTTTGCCATATATAGATTTCACATAGGGTTTAATCAATATAGTTAGAAAAACTACAAGTATGATACTGCCAACACTTAATAGTTCAAAAATACAAGTATGATACTGCCAACACAAAAAATATACACTTATACAACAAGTCCTCCAGGACCTCAAAAATCTGCTACTCCCCCTGCTTGTAATACCACGCAGTCCTCTGTGCAAACTTCAAGAGCACCCTACAAATAATCTCTTGTTAGGTAGCACACTACATTTACAAATTTAATCATGCTAGTGAGATTACCTGAAAAAGTCAAGCCTAATCTTCAAAAATGTGTGATTAAGTCTTCAAAAATCACCTGGAGGTTCTGCACTTCATATATAGTCAAAACATGTGCACTTTATATATTCCGAACTTAGTAACCTTGCAGCCCAAATCTGTCATTACTTCCTAATTAGGCTGTCAGATAATTAGTATGTGAGATGCAGCCCAAATCTGCCATTAGTTCCTCACAACTAGGTACATGTCCACTCGTGTTTAGAAACTGCAAGCAATCAAGCACAAGGCTTATGTCTGCACTTAGTTGGTCTGGTAGAAGTCCTCGCGTTATTAAGGACTGTTTTCCCAAATGGGGAAGACGATAATTGTTATGCCCCCTTCTTTATTAACTCCTCGCGTTATTATGTCTGCATTTTATTATCCAAATTAGACTTTGCACCCTGTTTTTGAAATCATTAGTATTTGCACCCCAACCTCGTATGAAAAGACTAAAATGCCCCTCGATCAGGATTATGTTGAAGGTCAACAAAATTGTTAATTGAGGGGCATTTTAGTCTTTTCATACGGGGTCGGAGTGCAAACACTAAAGATTTCAAAAACGGGGTGCAAAGTCTAATTTCGACAATAAAATAGGGTGCAAACTCAAAATATCCCTTATCTCAATCATACAAACTTGCAAACTGATGAACACATTGTTAAGTGTGCTGGCTGATAGCATATCATATGCTCTTTCTACTGCATTCACTAATTCATCTACTGTTTTTGCTGGTGATTCTGTTTGTAATGACTGAATAGCTCTAAAAAACCTAAATCCAACACATTAAGATCAGGTGAATTAGGAGGCTGACATGTTAGTTCAATGTTAAATCCATCCGAAGTAGCAGCAGCTTTAAAATCAACATCATCACCGCTTATATGTGGTCTTGCCTTGTCTTGTTGTATAATGACATGCTTGTCTGCATTTTATGGCCACCTTCTTTTTATGGCAGGTATAACTTTGTTGATTAGGCAGTCCTTGATTGTTTCTCGGGTAATAGAATCAATTGCCTTTGTGATTATTGTACCAGCTGCCCTGTTTTTACTTTTCCTCCTTGCTGGTTCTTTCACAGTAAATGGGAATATTCCAATTTTTCCATCAAATAACACTTCACCATATTCATCAAATAAAGGTCTTGCTACTGCACACATGAACATCACCTTTGTGATAAATCTTTTGCTCTTGCAACTTCTATATGGCTCAGTTTCACCCGAAAGTAAGAAATATTTTTGTGATGCTTTAGACATAAAAACCCACTTCTCATCAATATGGACTATGTTTCTCATACTTTGAAATTTGATCATGCTACGAAACTTGTCCACAAAAATCTTACCCAACACAAAATTCAACCTTAGAAGCTTATTAGGTGCTGTTAGATCAGGTTTGATAGCATTTGTATGGCTCTTTATCAAACCTTTAGAAACTAACCTCCCCACATTACTCTTTGACAACCCTATTTGTTTGGCAAGGGATCTTATTGTGGTTCTTAAGTGCAGGGGGACATTGAGAATGACTACAGTGTCAACCTGAATAGCTCGGCCAGTCTTCCCCATTTTTTTGGAGTGGACGTTCAAGAGACTACCCTCCCGCATCTGCCTTCTTGCTGTATTCCAGATTCTGGAGATGATTCTCCTGCTAACATTCCATTTAAGAGCTGCTTCTGAAATTTTCCCAGTCCGAAGAATCTGTTTGTTGGAATGTGAAACAACGGAATGTTCAAGAAGGAACTGTGCTATCTCTTCTCTCTCCAGATTTGTTAAATTTTTTGTTCTCATTTTGTGTTTTGTGATAGAACTGAAATGGCATGGAGTATATGTAGTGGACTGGTCAGTAGTTGTTGAGGCTTGTGAAAATTTAAAGAGGAGGGAAGTCTGCGTGAAAATTTTAAGTGGAGGGAAATGTGAAATGTTGAAATTGTAATGTGTCTGCGTATTACTCCGTACTTGAGTAAAATTGAAGTACTCACATGTTTACTGATAATGAAATTGTAAAATTGAAGTCTGCGTATTACTCCGTACTTGAGATGTCATGTCTCCCAATTTGCTCCCCCACTTGTCTCACAACACTCCATGTTTACTTTTACTTA